ACTCATAGGTGGGACTTTGGGGAGGTGATTGGATCATGGGGGTGTGATACTTAACAGTGGATTAGCCCACTGATGAGTTTATAGCTAAATGTGGTGCTGGGATGGAAAGCCTGTTCAGAGGAACAGGGTCACTGAGGGTGTGGCTTGGAAGGGTCCTTCTCCCCCTGCCCCTCTTTGATCATTCTCTGCTTCCTGCTGCCACACCATACACAGTCTCCTCTGCAAGGCCCCGCTGCCATGTGGCCAGCTCTGGCCTCAAACCTCTAAAAACTGAGCCCAAATAAACCTCTCCTTCCTTTGTCCCTGCATCAAAGAAAGTAACAAAACACATGGTGACTCCTCTCTTCCTCTATACACGCATACGCTGTTGGTTCTCTTTCACTGGAGAACCTGGGCATGACCCCCTTCGAGTCTGTTTTCTCTTGCACTATATCCTCAGTCCTTTGCCCCTTCCTCTATGAGCAAAGGTGAGATCCTGCTTGCTCTCTTCTGATCATCCTCCTGTAGCTCATTCAGCAAATCACTGTCTCTGACTCACGACTCTATCTCAGGACCTGCGGCACTGCCCATAGCAGATGGTCAAAACTATGTTTTGAGCACAGTAACAAAAGAAAGAATTGCTGGGTCTCCCTGCAGCACCATTCTAGATGAACAAGGGCCACATGGTATTATTTCCCCAAATGTCCTCTAACTCAGATCAGCAAAGATGAGCTCAGTGCTCCAGGGGGAGGGTAGGCCCGCAGTGTTGTTCGTTTGTTGCAAACAGAACTCTGCCCCTCCTGGGCTCTTCTCCCCCTTGGGAAGGAGCAGCATGGATGTTGGAATAGAGATGGTAGAGCAGGCCTACCCAGCCTCTCCCCAACAATAAGCATGTTCTCAGGACAGTGCCATAGCTTTTTTTTTTTTTTTTTTTTTTTTTGTACTGGGAATCAATCCCTGGTCCTTGTGCTTGCAAGGCAGGAGGCAGAACCACTGAGTTAAATCCCTGGCCCCGTAGATGGGCTTTTGATCTGCAAATAGTTTGGCCTCTGCATGTATCAGACACGATTCTTCAATTCACAAGAGAGTTTGCTAAGAGCCAGGGTTTGTGGGTAAGAAAATCCTGGGGTAGAACTGTCACTCTAGAGTGACGCAGGAGAATGTGAGTGGGGCTGGGCAGGTAGGGAAGGTCTCCCCAGGAGTCTGTTTGGATCCATGTCTAGTTAATCCCACATGCTCAGAGAGGAAGCAGGGCAAGATCAGCAGCCTGAACAGCCACTGCCAGCTGTGCTCAAGGACAATTAGCAGATTTCTGACCAAGCTGGGCTTCTGGGGAGCAGGGACTGGTAGGTTTATCCTTCAAAGTAAGGTTCAGGCTCCTCTGGAGTGGGCAACCAGAGCTCACACTGGGGCAGGGATGGAGAGCCTTTTCTGGAGCTAAAGACCGTGGAGACCCCACCCAAGTTGCTCAAGGGAAGAAAAGGGTGGTAGGAGACACCAGGTCACATGTGGCCAAGATCCCAAACACAACTCAATACCTCCCCATGGTATTCAAGACAATGACCCTCCCAGTGGCCTCAAGGTAGTAGAGACCCCTTCCCTGGTGTTCAAGGCAGTGGAGAACTTCCCATAGTGATTAAAGCAATGGAGACCTTTCCTGTGGTTCTCAAGGCAATAGAGACTCTCCACATGGTGTTCGTGGCAGTGGACCTTCCTGTGGCACACAAAGCAGTGGAAACCTGCTCCATGGTGCTGCTCTTGGCAATGGAGACCCTCCCAGTGGTACTTAAGGTGAGGAGAACATCTCCATGATACTCAAGACAATGGAGACCTTCCTATGGTATTCAAGGCAATGGTGAACCTGCCCTGGTGCTCAAGGCAATGGAGACCTTTCCTCCTGGTGCTCAAGGTGATGGAGACCCTCTCCACAGTGCTCATGGAGATGGAGACTCTCTGCCTCTCCCACCTTGAGACATCTACATCTTTTGACCCAGGACTACTCAGAAAGAACCTGTTGAAATCTCGCTGAAATGGCTAAAGCCACCCACAACTTATTGTCTGATTACCTCAGTGAGAATACCGGCATCATCTGACTTAGGATCATGCTGAGGTCCCCATTGTGACCAGGAAGTGCCTCACACCCATCTCTCTTGTCTGCCCTGCCCAAAACTTCCCGGACAAGTCAGAAGGGGCTGCTCCCTACCTTCCTGCCCATCTTCCATGAACACTGAGCCTGGACTCAGGCCCACAGGGAGGGCTCTTCCTGCCCTCTTCAAGTGCACTGACATCCCTTCCATCTCTCTCTCTCTCTCTCTCTCTCTCTCTCTCTGTCCTGCTGGGCAGGAGCCCCATCCAAGAAGGAGAATCTCTCTCTGGCTGGCACCAGTTTGGCACAAGAGTTGCCTGCAGTCTTTGGCTTGCCCTGGCATTCCTCTCTGAGACACTCTGTCCATCGCTCTCCCTTATTTTAGGATGGTCCATCCTCCCACATACCCTCTGCAGCAAGCCTGCTGGGAAGAGGATGATCTGGGCACAAAGGATGCGTCAATGGGGTGGGTGTCAGGCAGCTCCCTGTGGTGACACAATATACTTGTGAGTGGCAGAAAGCGGGAAACGGTCTTTGTTCCCAGACTCACAAAGATCCCACCCACGTGATGGCAAACATCTGGGGGACAGAGACACATGGGCATCATCAGCTGTCCCCAAGCACACAGCTGTTTGTTGTCTTGATGACCAGATATCCACGCAGTCCTTAAAGCACTGGCGTGTGATGAACAACACTCATAAAGAAAGGTTGCTTGTGGACTCCCTTGGGCCTTTCTGTACTGTCCCAGACACTGGCCCCCCAGGCTGTGAGGCTCCTTGTTTAAAGATGTGGGGAACTGCACATTCTCCCTCCCCTTTTTTCTGGCACGAATGTGTGAAAACAACCGTATGGGACCGGAGCTCCTTGTCCACCTGCAATGCCCACTGGGATGGAGGGTGGTAGGAGACACCAGGTCACATGTGGCCGAGGTCCCAAACACAACTCAAAGCCCTATTTAGATGCTAATGGGGCCAGCCAGAATGGTGGCACTGGGGCCTCTGGGAGGAGCCTCACTGAGCAGATGCCTGGTCTAGCACTGCTGCCTACCTCTCCTGCCTGGGAGAGGCACGTGGGCAAAGCTATTGGATCTGCCTCTCAGAAACAGTGACTTCAGAAATCCACGGAGGAACATGGCATTTGCCTCACATACAACTGGGGACAAGAAGGAGGGACTCTGAGGCCTGATTCAGGTTTCGCAGCATCACAGGCTGGAGTCAGCTCTGGAGACACCACCTACCTCACTGCCCAGGTCAACGAGGAGCAGACTGTAGGTCTGGTTGTGCTGAGCTGAGACCCAGCAGAGAAACTGTGGCTGTCAGCCCCACAGGAGTACAGAGGGACACAGGGCCAGAGCTGTGAATGGCCCAGCAGAGGAGGATGCCGGACTCCCGGACCCTGCTGTCAATTTCCAGAGTCCTGATTATCACCCCTGTGCTGTGTCATGCCATCAGCACGTGAACTGATTCATGTGTGCACCCACACACGTGCACAACCATCTGTTACAGTGTGCACTTAAATGTCCCCGAGCCTCTGCTCTCCAAAGTGGGGCTTTGGTTGGTGACTGGGCCTTGGGGGTGTGGAACTGGAATAGCTGGGTGTGATTCTGGGAGGGGAAGCCTGACGGGAAGCGGTGGGTCACTGCGGGCACAGCCTGGAAGGCCCTCTCCCTCCTCTCCCCTCGGTGGCCCCACTTCCCATTGTCACACTGTGAGCTGCTTCTCCTGTGCGATGCCCCTCTGCCATGTCGCCCTGGTTGGAGCCAGACCGCTATGGACTGAAACCTCTACACACTGTGAGCCCAGATAAACCTCTCCTCCTTTATGTGGTGGGTGTCAGGTGTTGTGTCTCAGCAAGTAACTAAACAACATCACACATATTAGCATGAAGAAAATCAACGAGGATTTCACTCCAAAAACAAAACCACAGTGCCCAAGTTCACACATAGACACACCAGTGCAAATGCACTCCTGGACCCTCTTCCTGTTGTCCTGCACATCCTTCTCCACGTCTCCCTCCACACCCTGCTGCTTGTCCTCCCACACAGCTCCATTTCACGTCCTGTCCTCCTGCCCTCCTTTGGCTTGGATTCCTTTCTCGGGCTTCCACGTGCACTTTTACTATTGGGTTCAACTGTAATCAAGGTTTTCCTGTCGAGATTCCAGATTCCCCTCCTCTATTTGCTGGTAGAGAAAATAAAAAGGCCTAGAAACCCACTAAAAACTTCTCTTCTGAGCCCTCTCTATCACCAAAACCTTGAAATTGTTCTGCGCCATAAAGCAGACAGGATGGTTTCCTTTTACACATCTAAAACATTCTCACCTTACCCAGCGCAGAGCTGAGGCAACTCGTGTGGACATGCAACCCTATATCCCAGGGGTCACATTTCTGAATTGAGGAACAGAGTGGCCAGCCGTGCACCCTTAGCAATCATCTCATTGATAAGAGACCTTGAAGGGAGAAAAAGAGCACTTTGAAGGAAGGCCCAAAGAGTGACAAGGACCTCAGACAGGCCAGCAGGTTTCAGATATTCCAACAGGACATTACACAGGTACCGGGACAGTAGGACATCACTAGTCCAGTAGAATGTCACACAGACCAGCAGGACAACAGAGGGGCCAGTGGGACTTGTGAATCCTGGCAGAGCATGGAGACGTGACTGACGGGCATGGTCAGTACACTCTGCTCCCACCCTGTCCCCTCTGTCTGTCCAGCAGTGCCCACCCCACACCCTGGTGGTGACGGACAGGCCCAGCTGCTCTGCCCTGTGGGTCTGCCCACCCAGCCCTCCTGACAGATGTTTTAATCTGTTGTTTGAAGAGCGACTTCTGCAGGAGTCCTCGGCATCTGTTTCTGCTCACAAACATGAAGGCACCGCACACAACACAGGGCGCCCCCCATAATGGGAGCCATGTGACCAGTGGCCCAGGTTCTTGGGTCACCTTTCCAGCTAGTAGGGATTTGCTGCAGGCAGGCAGACAGGCACACTTTTGAGCTCTGTAAGATCCACTGTAAAACATGAACAGGTTAGCTCTCTGAACACTCCTTTCTGAAACAAGGCATTTATTCTAAGAATCCACCAAAAAATACCCAGGCAGCATAGAGATTATAGGGCTGTTCATGATCTAGGTCCATAAAGCCATTTAAATCAGTGGAGTTCTGCTTAGTCTAGATTTCACGGCTCCCTAGTGCTGCTGCTCATGACGTCTCATGGTCCCTGTGCACTAGTCACCAGGATAGTCCACACGGAGACCACATCTGGGCTCAGGAGATGAAGTGGAGAAAGGACCAGTGAGGATGCCAAAGCCAGATGACAGTGCCTGAGAACCATGAGCAAGGCCGAGGAGGACAGGGTGGTTCGGCTGGCCCCCACTATAATGTCCCCACACTAAGGCAGGGGGATCCTTCCTCCCACACAGCATCCTAGAAAAGGATATGTTTACTGGGTTCATGCATCTGCTCAGAAGTGCACCTGTTTCACTTGCCTTCATTGCTCCAGGATGTGGCACTTACTAGGCATGCGCCAAAGGTTTGCTGAAATAATAAACAGTGACTTACCACATTCCTCCGAACATGGGGAAAGTGGGAGGCATTTGTAGGTTAGAAACAATCAGGAATGATGAGGACAGTGGCTCCTTTTCTGCCTATGAATAAACCAAGTGAGAGGGAAAGAAAAAGAAGTTTCCACCACCTGAGCCCATGCTGTTCCAGAAGCTTGCCCCTTGCCACCAAGAAACAGGACGCCTGCATCTCTGGTGAGCACTCAACATGTGTTACCTCCGTGTCCTCCATGCTGTCCCATCGCACCCCCTCCCTGCCAGGAGTAGATGCTCAGGGTTTGAGCTCAGGGCCGCTGCTCTAAGCTGCAGGATCCTCACCACACACCAGACTTGACTAAACCTGCTCCATCCCTGGGAGGAGAAGGAAAGCTGAGAAAAGAAAGCGTGCTCATGGCCGATGGCTGGAGGGCACCATGCCCTGGAGGCTGCGTGTGGGCCAGAGCAATGTGTGCAGGAAGGAGCTAAGGCAGAATGTCCATAGCTATGGTGTCAGGAGGCCTAGCATTTAGAGACTGAGGCAGAGACATTCACACTCTGGAATATTATCATCCTTTCTTCTTCTTTCTTCTTTTTGCATCTTTACTCTTTTATTAATGCATGTCAGTATTACAGAATAATGTCAGTCTTGGGGAATAGAAACAGTTCATAACATAGCTTGCTCATTTTCAATCTCCCTAAACCTTCCTGCTTTCCCCTTTTCTTGGTCTTCTTTGCTACCTCCAAGTGTCTATTTTCTAGGGTTTTTTTTAAATCCCTCATTTTATGCACTTATTTGAAGTTTCTCATTTAACAGAAAGTGTGCAACATTTAACTTTCCAAGTCTGATTTATTTCACTTAGCTTGATTGTCTCAAGTTCCACCCATTATCCTACAAATGATTTCATTCTTTTCTGTGGCAGTACACATACCACATTTTCTATAACCATCTCTCTGTTGACAGGAGCTAGGCTGTTTTCAGAAGTTAGCTATTCTGAATTGGGCTGCTATGAGCGTTGCTTTGCATCCATCATGATAGTATGATGTCTTTGGTTCCCTGGTGAACCCCGGAGAGGTATAGCCGGGTCAAATGGAACTCCTATCTTTAGTTTTTTGTGGAATCTCTATACTAATTTTTGTAATGTCTGTAGGAGCTCGGATTCACAGGAACAGTATAGAAGGATTCCTTTCCCCCTACATTCTCATCCCCATTTGTTGCTTTTTATGTTCTTCGTACTAGCCAGTCTGACTAGAATGAAACAGAATGTCAGAGTTGTTCTGATTTGCATTTCTCTAATGGCTAAACACGCTGGACGTTCTTTCAAGTACGTATGGACCATTTGTGCTTCTTTTGAGAAGTCTGGATTTGGTTCATTTGGCCATCTCTTGTTTATTTTGGGGAATAGTTTTTTTTT